AAGTAAATTTGAAAAATTAGAATGATCTAAATTTATTAAAAGAAGACGTTTATTTATTTACCCCATACATAGGCCTTGGTTGACTATATTGTGGAACACCTGGTGGATTCCAAGACATTTTTTATTTCAACTTTTTTTTTTAAAAAAAATTTTTTAAGCATAAATATATATACTAGGAAATGATCACACAACAATTTTTAGATAAATTAAAAAATACGTATTTATTAAGAATAAATCATTTTCTAATATAATGTATTTTATTATGAGTAGTATGAATATAAATCATAATAAAAGAAAAGGTATCATTAAATAAATAAAAGAAATTTAATAGAAATAATACTAGCGACCACCTTTTTTTTTCTTTTTCTTCTTTGAAGAAGTTTGAACATTTGATGATGATGATGATGACGATATGTTTGTGGAAGTCACTTCTGATGCAACAACTTGTGATGACTCTGATTTTATAGTGGCCACATTGGTAGAAGTGGTAGAAGCAGCAGTGTTGGTGACGGAAGGTGTAGTTGATGCCGTTGGTTCAACAACTGAAAGAAAAAAAGAAAAATTCAATCAAGAAAAAAAATATATCCCCAAAATTAATTAATTAATTATTAAATCCAGATTCTTGACAACGAATACAAATATCAAATAAACATTATATTCTAATTGTTTTTCTTGATAACTTTTAAAATAATACCTTGATCGTCTGGAATTTTACGATTTTGCATTTTACACATTAAAGATTTGTTTAATTTTTCAAATTTCTTTAGATCAACAGCCTGATCTGTTTTATACTTCAACACTCTAAAATTATCAGTCACTTTTAAAACAAGTGAAGCCTGGGAATGTTTCCAAGAAACTAAATATCTTGTCTATATTTTTAAAAAATAATTACAAACAAACAATTATCATATTATCGCATCATCATATTGCCATATTATTTGTTTAATACCTCTTTTGGAGAATTCAAATAAAGTTCCTCAACACCAGTTTGAAATTCATTCCAGTCTGTGATATATGTCATGTTTAATTAAAAATTTTCTAATCAAATATACAAAAAAAATATTTTATGGAAAAAAACAAGGTCATGTCACACGAACGTTAAAAATCTAGAACATTACCAATTTGAAAAAAAAGTTTATTTATTTATACAAATGTAATTTATGTAAATTTACAAACAAAAAAAAAAAAATGAAAAGTGTGTATAATATATATATATATATATGTGTGTGATGTATATGCATGCGTGTATTTATAAAAATGAAAATATAAAATCAATAATCTCCATTCCAAAATGACAATTGGGGCGTGAAATTTCCAGCTTGACCAAAATCTAATTTGGTTGTCCACATCTCAATTGCAATGTAATAATAAAATAATGATAATTGCTATGTGATAATATATAAATAATGAATGATAATTAAATAATATAATAAATGTATATGTTATTTTTATATATTTTTCTATTTTTTCTCAAAAGTTTCTATTTTTTTTTTTTAAAGTTTCTATCTAGATTTTTTTCTATCTCGAAAAAGGTTTATTATTATTAAACGTTGAACATCTTAGACCCTTGATTAAAATCATCGTCTTCAACTTTTTCGTGAAAATCAAGATCCACTGAGAATTGGGAAGCGTCGTCGCTCATACGTCTTCCCTTATTATCATCATCATTAGATAAATTTCCTAATGTAGTTGATGAACCAGGAGGCGAAGGTGGAGATAAGGTGGTTGTTATTGTAGTGGTGGTGGTGGTTTTGATAGTTGCAGTATTAATATCACCACCATTATCGATTTTATTACTTTTATAATGTTGATAAACTCTTTTTACTAACACATATTGGCACACAGCGACCAATGGCTGCACACCAGTTACATGCCACATGGAAGATAAAAATAAATTAGAGAAACTTGCAACAGTGATAAATTTTTGACGATAAACACCAAAAGTAAACCACCATGGCGCAGCAACCAAAGGTAATATAGCAATGTAAGTCATTGTATATTTGAGCCTATCTAATGCTTCGCGCGTAACATTACCATTTGATTGATAATAATTCGCTGAAGATTTAACGGCGTTAGTATTAGTAGCCGAAGTTGCAGATGATGATGCAGCAGTTGATGACTTGAATTGATTAACTGATTGTCTTAATATTAACATGAAATTAATTCCATAATAAATTCCAACAGCCGATAATACCAAATCATGAATTGAATAAGCTATATACTGAGCCATTGTCCAATTATTAGCTAATTTTTCATCTCCATTGTCTCTGGCAATTCCCGATAATATGGCAAATGGAAAGCATGTTAAAGTAGGATATAGACACCAGCAAAGCAATACAATATTTAAGACGGTTGGTGATGGAATATAAATAGTACGTATTTTGTAACCATCGTCATTACTATTATTGGTTCTAGATTTTCTACTCTTTGATGAAGTTAGTCCGCGAGAATAATTAGCTGGAATCGTGTAAATTATTCCTATGATATAAGTTACAGCACCATAACATAACACAGTCCAGCCGATTTCTTGAACAGTTTCTTTTTGTAAATAAGTTGTGTAAACATCCAATATCATAAGCAACGAGTGTAATGCACGAAGATAGCAGGCAATTGTCCAAAAAAACAATAAACTGTCAACTGGAAGGGGTCTTATCCCGCCGCAATGGTTGATAAATAAACCTTTCCACATATGTTTATAACGGTAACCAAATATAAATGATCCAGTAATTGCTAATATTCCATAAGTTATCAATGAAGTCATCGCTTCCATTCTAAACATATCACTCATAACGCAATTATAGATTTCTATGCGCCAATCACAAAACCTCAATGTTTCGTTGACGCTCATTTTTTTATGATTATGATTAGGTTTGGGTTTGAAATTCGGATTAGGATTATAAATAAGTAACTAATGACTCGAAAAAGGTTAGAAGAAGAAGAAGAGATTGTTTTTTTAAAAAAAAAATGAATGAATAAATATGAACGATTGATGAATGAACGTTGTTAATTATTATTTATATGCAGTTTGAGAATAATAAATTTTTTTGAAGGAAATACTTTTAGCAGATATTTATAATATTTTTAAAATTTAAAATTTAAAATCATGACAAGGAAGGAAAAACTATTTAGAGTCGAATTATAATATTACATCTTTGAATAACTCATTAACAATGAACATATTTGTTTATTTATCTCGCTTAGAATTAGAATTATTGTTTTAAAGTAAATATGTGATCATATGAATAACCAATTATTTATTTCTAATTGCAGTGTTACCCCATCTCCAGCCAGACCATTATTCCATTATCAAAGACTTTATTAGTAAATCTTTATACTTGCTGTTTTACTGATTTGGAAAACAAAGAGTGCACTAATGTTGATTTTCAAATTTCGAACTAAATGAAAATGAAAGATCGTACATGATTTTATTGGAAAATCTTTATCATATTTGTTATTTTAGAAAACAACTTACCTTAACTGTTAAACAGAATAAATATTTTTTTTTATTAAATAACAATAATGTTCTTAGGGGGGATTATTTATTGGGTGACGATCATTTGTATACATACATATATTAATTTATTTACCCTTTGCATACATACACACTCACACATGTACATTATTAATTATAATGGATCGATGATTTCATTGGAATCTGGATGTTACATTGAAAATCTCGAAAGACCTTAAAATAATAATAATAATAATAATAAAAAATAGATGAAGAAACAAAGAAATTGCAAGAATGAATTCAAAATCGTCAATCACAACAACCAATTAATTAAACTGATTGATGAAAATAAAAATAAAGTATATAAACACAATCCTAGAGTTTATCGAGATTGTTTGTTGTTACATTTGATAAATAACAATAATAAACGATGCATAAAAATTTTTAGACTTGACGAATAAATAATTAAAACTATCAAAACAAAAATTTTGGTGCTAGGCGAATAAGTTTATTTAGGTGGACGGCAAAAAAATTTGTTTATTTTTTTAACAAAGGCTTTAAAACTTTGTTATTTTTGGGAAGACTTGATTTGTATCCATCACGCATTTCACCTTGCCAAGAAATATACTACTTGTGCTTCCCGATTGTTGTATTCATTGAAGTCTGCAATACCAGAAACTTCAACAAATGAAATATGAGTTCTCTCTGAACATCCTTCATAAGGAACTTTTCATGTTGAGACCATATTAACTTTGCAATGTGCTTTTCCTACATGATTGTTATTATCCAATCTCGTAAGCAGAAAATCAGACAGAATATATAGTAGGTTTTTTGAGTCTATGAAAGGCCCTTGTTGTATTTCGGAGGTGATGTCTTAAATCTATAATTATTACGATTATTCATTGGATCTTTATAATCATGGGCAAGTTGCTATAATAGCATTTTATAATTCTGCTGATTTAATTCTTCTAAATGGATTTCGGTAACTGAAAAAATCAGGCAATGTTCTTAGAATTTTGAAAATATCATAGAAATTTGCCAAATCGTCTACTACAAATTATAGAGCTCTTTTCGATAAACTATAAGAACTTCAAGAGACCACCAAGCAACAGGATGGGAGACGATTTACTGATATACCGTAGATCTTTTTTTAAAAAAAATTCGGTAAGCGGCGCAGCACGTAATTTAGAATTAAGGGTTGTGCGACAAATAAATAAATATTAATATTGCAACTAGGGTTTGTGAACAAACCCTAATTGCAACTTAATCAGGGATAAAATGACTGGGGAAAAAATGTCCTCGGTTACACCGATTCGCAAACATAATATATTGGTAATAGTAATGAAAACATTGTTTATACCAAAAAAAAAAAAGTGTAAAAATAGTAAAATATTTTATTACATACCCTAATTTGTCAATGCTAAAAAGTTATTTGCAAATATGGTCAAATTATTTCATTTGGAGTCAATTATCAAGTTGCAAACTTTAAAAGACATTCTAAGAAAGAGTAATAATAGGATTTTGAGATCATTTATCATATATTTCTATTATCCAGTATTATAACAGTGTTTTTTCATGTGCAAATTTGGCAGGAGGAGACATTGCAATTCATATTACACCACAAGAAGTTTATTTTTTGGGATTACGCTTTTACTCTGATATTAATCCTTGGCAAACAGACGATGAAACATTTTTAATTTATGCTCATTTTAAGATATAAAAACTTCCTTGTTAATTAATAAAGATAAATTTCACATGTCCTCGGCTATTTTGATTTTAAATGTGTTCGGGAAAATCGATTCGTATAATTATGAAAAACTAAGATTCGCATTAATATGATATAGTTTTCCCGGTCCCGGGATCAACATACTGTATTAGTATAGTATTTAATACTAATACAGTATTAGTATTAGTATAATTTTCCCAGTCCCGGAAAAATTGAACACTCTTTTTTTTACCCTGAACTTAATATTAAAATAGTTAATTGCTGTTTCGTATATGTTTGAGTGAATGAAAATGTATGTGTCTTATCTTCTTTAGATAGAATCCTTTTTGGCTTAGATACCCACTATTATATTATATTTTGAGTTAGCTTCAAAAAACAATATTAATATTAATATTAATATAGTAAACTCTTTGAATGTAAATCTTTTCCATTTTTCTCAAAATCATAAAAAATTTTAAGATGTGCACAAAAAAATAAATTTTTTAAAAACAAATTTCAACCACTTACTTTAAGAAAGAATGATAAATTCAACACGTGCAGAAATTCTACAACTTTATCGTTCTTTTTTACATGTAATAGAAAATTGGCCTGCTGACCATTTAAGACCAAATCGTAATTTAAAACAAGTTTTACATTTACGGGTAACAGAAGGTTTTCAGAAAAATATGATTATTAATGATCCAGAAGTTCACAATAAATTGATTACTGAGGCAGAAATTGAACTAGATGCATTAAAACGTTTAGCGAATAACGAGTTCAAGGAAAAGGTCAGCGTTCGTTTAATAAATAATTAGTATATATCAATATTATATATTAATTTTCATAAAACAATAATAGTATCCACTTTCAGATAAAATGCATACACCAGCATCAAATCCAAAATATTATACTAGATTAATTGCAGAAATTGATAAAGCAGCCAAAGCAAAAATAGTTGAAGGCCTATGTATGGGGTAAATAAATAAACGTCTTCTTTTAATAAATTTAGATCATTCTAATTTTTCAAATTTACTTGATTCTTTGATTTACAACAGAGACCAGCAGGCTTTCAATCATACCCAACTAGACCTGCCCCTGGGCAACCTTTTTCACAAGCTCCACCATATGTACCGCCGCCGCCGCCACCACCAGTTTGTATTTTTTTTTTCTCTTCCCGAGTTCTCTCTTGTTAGTGATCGGTTTATTAATCGTGATTTATTTATATTGCATATATATTGTACGATATCTAAAGACTTCTACAGTTTGGACTGAACATTCCTCCCCTGATGGTAGAAAATATTATTTTAATTCTATCACAAAACAGAGTAGTTGGGATAAACCCGACGAATTAAAAACTCCTGAAGAGGTTAGTTAACTTATCAATTGTCTAGATTTTTTTAAAAAAATTATTAATAGTTATTTCAATTGATAATAATTATGATGATGATGATGATGATGATGATGACAATAATGTATATTAGCGATCAATAGGTTCTTGTGCTTGGAAAGAATTTACAGCGGATAATGGCAGTAAATATTATTATAATTCCAACACAAAAGAATCTAAATGGGAAATTCCAGCTGAATACAAAGGTAATCTTCTTTTCTTTCTTTTTTTAGAATTGATTTTATATTTTGATTTTAATACATTTATTATTTTGATTTTTATAGAATTTCTTGATAAACTTGAAAAAGACAAAAAAAAATTATCGTACGTAAACTTATTATTATTATTATTATTATTTGATGCATATGACCGTTAATGAACCAACTAATAAATAAATAAATTAATTTATATGTAATACTAAACATTTATTCACCAATAGATTTTCTGAATCACCATCACAAGCAAATGGTAATGCTTTGTTGTCACCTAGTCAACAAGATTTTGAGAGAGCAAGACAATTGAGTGTACCGATTGTTAGTCCTGTAAATGTATCGCCCGGTAATATTTCTATAAGATCTGGTGGTCTCGCTGCTCCTATTGGTCCAAATGTATCCGTCATACCTATTCAACAACAAGAAACACAAAAGATCGAATTTGAAACAAAGGAAGAAGCTGAAAAGGCTTTTCATGAATTACTTAAAGAATCTGTATGTGGTTTTTTTTAATATGTGTGTGCATGGCGCACGCACCAATTGTAGAGATGACATTTATTTCTTCTCTTACAATTTTTATTTCTTTGATGTTTTTTATACAGGGTGTCAAACCTGATTGGACATGGGAACAAACTATGAGAGCTATTATTGGTAAACCAATGTATCGTGCTCTTAAAACATTAGCCGAGCGTAAACAAGCATTTCATGATTATATTGATGGACTAAGAAAGAAGGAAGAAGTAATTATAATTTATTTTCTTATGCAGTCGCATCTATTTATTTGCATATTTCTGCGCATATGTAAATATGCATTTGCAGGACCTTTTAAGATCATGATACATATACGCATTTAGAGGTTATCTAATAGATTATAAGCCCCAATATATGGGGCTGAGTTATCTTTATGCAAATAGATAGGCACGACTTGCAAATATACATAATCTTTTTTATTTAATGGATTAAATAATAACAATTATTACTATTGTTACTATTATTATCTTTAGGATGAAAAAAGAGCAAAAGCTATTAAAATACGTCAAGATTTTATATCGTTACTTGAATCTCATCCTGAAGTAAATTCATCTACACGTTATAGGTATGTTTAGATATTTAGATATAATGATTGTTTATCTTTTTAAAAAAAAAACTCATTTCATTTATTTAATTCTTTGACTTTAGAAAAATTAATGAATTGTTTGGAAAAGAACATGCATTTTTAGCAATTGAAGATGATAGACAACGAGAAGAAATATTTGGTGAATATATCTACGATCTTCGTAAACAAGAGAAGGTAATTATTTTATACATATATATTTAACGATTATTGAAATAGTAAATCAATAATTAATTAATTAATGAATTAATGATAATTAAATAAATAATAATTAGGAAATTCAACGTGCAATTCGTAAGGAAAATATGGAAAAGTTTAGTAATCTTTTAAAATCACTTCCAAATATAACAGAGGCTACAAGATGGCTTGAGGCTCAAACTATATACACAAGCACGCCTGAATATCAACGAGATAAAAAGTTACAAGATATGGATATGTTGGATTTTTTGGCTGTCTATGAGGAACATATTAGATCATTGGAACGTGAATCAGCAGAAAAGAAAAAACGTGAACTTGAAAATCAAAATCGACAACAACGTAAAAACAGAGACGCATACCGTGCTTTGATGGACGAATTACGCAAGAAGAGTGTAATTAATGCAAACTCTAAGTGGAAGGAAATATTTCCATTAATTACTAATGACGAGCGTTATCAAAATATGCTTGGCCAACCCGGATCAAATCCTCTAGAGTTATTTTGGGATGTTGTTGAAGAACTTGACAAGATTTTGTACCAACAACGTAAAGTTGTAACGGAGGTTCTAAAGGTACATACATATCTATTTCAAAGGATATAAATATAGCATTATCTATTTTTTTTTTATTTGGTTACATTTAATTTTTAGTAACATAAGTAACAATAATATTTGAATTTAATTAATTTAGTCAAAGGATATTTCAGTTAATTCAGGAATGACTTTTGAACAATTCAAAGAAACTCTTAATTCTGATGAACGAGCATCTTTAATTTCTGAAATAAATCAGAAAAGCATATTTGAACAAGTATTTGTCGCAATTATAAATGATAATGATAATGACTCGAGATTTAGTAAAATGTGCTAATTTATTTTTATTCCTTCCAATAGCTACAAAGAAAATCTGAAAGAAGACAACGTCGAAAGATAGATGCATTTAAATCAATATTAAACAAGAATTTGGATATATCCCTGACGCCAGAAATAACATATGATCAGGTTTATCTTTTATCTCCTTTTTTTTTAAAAAATTAAATCATTAAACTTTATATTTATGTAATAATTTATTTTGTTGGTATTATTTAGGCAAGACCACACATTGAAAAAACTGACGAATTTAAAGCAATCGATACAGAAGAACAACGCATTGAAATTTTTAACAAGTTTATGGACCGTATTAGGGTAATATTAATACATGCATATATATATACACATATATAACTACAAATGACATTATCATTTATTTATTTTTAAATTTTTTTTTCCGCAGGAAAAATTTCATAAAAAAGATGATGACAGTGAGGAGGAAGAGGGTACACTTAAGGATGATGATTATGAAGATGATAAACATACATCGTCAGATAAAAAAAGAAAACATAAAACCCATAGATCATCATATCATCATCGACGTCATCACAATTCTGATAATTCTGCAGAAAGTGCTGGTGATTATTCTGACAGAGAAAGAGATGGTGATAGAAGAAAAAGACGAAAAGTATATAATATATTTTATTTTATTTTTAAAAGTATATGTTTTCGATCTTCTTGTTTATTATAATTTGTTATAAAAAAATTTTATTTTAGCAAAAACCCAAATACGAATCACGACATTCAGAATCAAGATATCAAGATCATAATAGTAGCAGCAATAATAGTGGTAGTAGACATTCTGAATTAAAACATGGTGAACACATAACACACTCATCAAAATCACCAAGACTTCATCACGATCATCATAAACCAACGTCTACCACTTCTACTTCTAACATCGTTACATCTGCTAATAATACTTTTAGTATCGCTGATGCTGATGTTGGTAGTACTGATTCTTCAAGCAATTTAATAACGTCATTATTATCTTCTATTTCAACTACTACTGCTACTGTTACTGTTGCTACATATAAATCAAAAAGTCAATCACCAAAAATAGAAGCTGTTGATAAAAATTCGTCGCCTAAATTAGAAGTAGTTGGTAAAGCAATATCTTCCAAACCTGAATTTCGTCAAAAACATCATCATGGGGATTCAAGTGCTGAAGAAGGCGAGTATGTGGAGTAAATATGTCAAAAAAAATTTTATTAAAAAAATAAATCTATAAAATAAAAAAAATTAGTCAAACATCAATTTTTTATATATATAAATATTTACTTCATTATTGTCAGTGATATTTTAGAAAAAAAAAATTTTTTTAAAAAACAAAATTCTTGAAGAATAGATGTGTATTATGTGGGCTTTTGGACATATATGGAAATAAAAGAATACAAAAAAACCCCACCCAAAAAAAGGTGAGAATATACAGTAATGTGATATTATATATATATATATATATGTGTGTGCATTGATGAATAAAAAGAATCTTAGATTTTGTTTAAGTAAACAAAAACAAATCAAACAATTTAGCAAATCAAAAAGTCCTATTCGATAATTTTTTCAAGAGTAATAATCGTCTTCTACTTGATAGCTAGCTGATATTAAAAAGATTTAGAGGTATGTGTGATTTTTGAGAAGAAAAAAAATTTTTTGAAAATTTAATAAATTGACACAAATCTTTTATATCTCTAAAACTTTTAACAAATTATTGAGGATTTAGTAGAATTAATCAATGAATTGATTAATGATCTCAAGGAAAAAATTTTTAATATAGATTTACATACACATATTATAATATGTATAGATTATTATTTAATTGTAATGAAAATTTAGTGCCATTTTATTAATTTTAATTTTTCTTTTTTTGGGGGAGGGGAAATAAACTTTAAATTGCATTATTTTTATTTCATCATTTATTTTATTATGAAAATATCATTACACTTAATTTATTGGAGGAAAGTGAACTTTGCCGAAAAATTCTTTTTTAAAAAAGCAATTTTTCACTGCTTTTTTGGATCATGCGAATTTCATAAGTAAATTATTAACGTCTGCTGTTATTTCAACTTTTATTTAGCATTTCGTTAATAATATCACATTTATAAAGGAAAACTTTCCCTTTTCTCCAAAATCCTTTGTGGAAAGAGCGCAAAGTAAAAAGGTTATAGACAATCATTCCAATGACTTTTATCTCACGGTCTTTCTTCATACTATGTCTTGTCATTCAAATAATTCTGATTTCTTCTAATTTTGTATTCTTGTTATAATAATTTCTTTCTAATTTTGCTTTTGACAGATGCTTTTTGTATCTTCTTAGCAAGTTTTTAGTCTCCTTTTATTGTGACAGCTATCACACAAGTCTGTTTCTTGAACTCATAATTTGAATTTGAGGAGTTAATTGATGTTATAATTTACGAAATGCATCATGACTTCAAATTGCTGTCTTCTTCTAGACCAGCAAGAAAGTTTCTATGAATATTTCTGCTGGTAAGTATATATAACCGACTGGGTTATTCTATTGACAATTCTTTTTGGACTTGGTAAACCAACCCATGTACTTCTATATGATTTAAAAGAAAATTCTTTACAATCTTGGCAACATTTTTTATCGATTACCATTTTGGTTTTTCATCGGGGCATTTTTTTTGCATTGAAATGAGCTCTTATGTGAGGCCATTGTTTACTAAATGACTTCTGATATTTCCAAAGTAAGTTCTACCAACTCCTAGTATATTGAGATATGCTTTTTGACAAAGGATTGTGTTATGATTTCAGCGATAAAAAGTCTTTTTATTGACACGAGCTTTCTTTTTAAGGCGTTCGCTAGCACTTATTTTTCCACCATCCATTGCTGTTAGCTGAACCATTAAGAAGATATCTTGTTCTGATTTAGTAAGAGCTTGAAAAGCTCTGCAAATTCTGCAAATTAATTCTTTGGAATCATTTCTGAGCAATCACAACCTGCTTCAATTGCCTTTTCATCATATTTATTGTATATCCCATTTTTATTCAATTTGTAGGTTTTGTAACAATAGGCAGGCACATTAAAAATTTTTATTTGCTTGCTTTTTTTTTTTGATGAATGTGTTGGCAAAAAGAAGGCATACTTTGTGAATATAAGATAATTCAATGTTTTAAAAATGAAATTCTTTTTTCAAATAAAAGTTATCTAGAATTCTAATCTAGAGTGACCAGGGTTTACCAAATGCCGATATTAATATATACTGTTGTATAAGAAGTTTCTCATTCATGCGAAGTGTTTTGATTTCACCTAACATTCATCATATACTGTCATATTTGGAATCGTATCTAACACGATATTTACATTTTGCTGAAATTTCATCCTTTTTGCTAATGGCCCTTTAATATCTGGTCTTGGATAAGCATTTTTCGCTCGAAACCTCAGGAGGACTCACTCATAAATTGGAAAATGAATGCTATCTCGAACTTGATAATTAGTATTTAATCTAACGCTAAACTAATTCGTAATACGGTTTAAACGATCTGCTATTTTTTTATAAACTCTCCCTTCCATTTAGGTAATGGTTAACAAGGACTATATCATCGCAACGTGTATGGCGTTTACCGATTTTCTTTTTTCGCATTTTCATGTCATAGTACTTATCTCCAAGAAAAAGTTTAAGAGTATATTAGTTTCCCGGTGTTTGATCTGCCATCCATCATCAACCTTTGTAAAAAACCTCGATTCGTGATTTAAAATTACATGTTTTCTCCAGAAAAGATGGACTTTGACACTGTTACAAATTTGTGTAAATTTCAATCAACAGATTATTATTATTTTTATAGGGCAAAGTAGAAGGGCCACGCTGAACAATCGGGCCATCGATATGGCATATAATAATATACTAATTAACTATGTCTGCGATTTTTTTTTTGAAAAAAGAGGGAAATCATAGAGGAAGAGACTAATAATTATCAAATACAAATTATCTAATGATTGGGTCTCTATTAATATTGCAATAACGAAATGTGCAAGGTAATGTTTGAAGGGAAAAACTTCTAAAGTGTTTGACGAAATATAAAATGGCCCGGTTTTCATTTCTTATGCGTTCGTCTATTTAAGGAGAAGTTTTTTCAGTGATTTATTGCTCTTTCAGCATTCCTGTCGATGTTTTCCAGATTTGCCAAATCCTACTAGTGCGCCTATATCATTACGGAAAAAGCCTCGCACTAGAGAATTGTCGAATTCTTTGCACCATCAACTTCTAATCTGGCAGTAGAAGTTTGTATTCTACTATGTTGAAAATTCTCTTGAAGACTTTAGAATATCTCTAGCTCTTTTTAAATTTAATAAGTTCCGTATCCAATTTTTCGAGTAGCCACATTGGCGACTGTAAGAAAGTGGTTGGAGCCTTGGGTCCATAAGCATTGGACATAAATCAACTGGTAAAATAATGTTGGTCATCCACGTAATGACCTTGACTCTCCGATAGTTTCTTCTTCTTTGACTAAGGTGAAGATTGGCATGTTCCTCGTTCTTTAACATCTTAGGAAACACCAATGTTGTGACCCTAACTCTTTTTGATTCCCTAAACATTGCCTTATTTTTATTATATTGTATATTTAAATATTAAAGGTGGCTATGTGATATAGGAATTACTACAACTGGAAATTAATTTTAAAGGTAAATTCTTTACATTAAAATTTGGTTTTATTATTTTAAAAAGCTCCATGTAAGTCAGTTCGCAAGAAGCTTAATAATTTCTAACTTTTTTTTGCCTTTTATATCTTATTCATAATACCCTAATAAAAAAAGAAAATAAATTGCATTGCAAAATCATATAGAAAACGGTATGCTTGAAAAATAATAAATTAATGTTATCCATAAAATATTAAAATTATAATGAACTAATTGTTAAATAAAAAAATCATATGTATTTACAAAGTATAATTAACAGAAGAAAAATTAAAATTAATACTAAGTGAAAATTGTTCTTTTTCCTAATTCAAATTTATCTATAATTTTATTATTAATATCATAAACTACCCAAATCAATTTATCAGACCAAATTTCAATCAACACATAATGGTAAATTTTTCTAACAATTGAATAAATTTTCCAATCTTCAACTCTCTCAAAATCCAGTTTACCACCTGCACCACCAATTATGGTGTAAACAGTACCATCAAATTGACCACGTTGATAATTATGCTGATGTCCACTTATCACCAAATCAACATCATATTTTTGAAATAGAGGCACATACCTCTTCCTAACAAAATCGCCCCAATATTTTTCTGATTTCTCATTCCAGGATTTTGGATCCCAAAATTCAACAAAGGGTGGTATGTGTACCACCACAACACGAAACTTGGCCAATTTTGATTCAATTGATGATAACTCTTTTATCAACCATTTATCTTGTGACTCTTCATCGATATTACTATCCAATACTATCCAGCGTGTATTTGCTATAGTGAATGAATACCATAATTTATTTGTTGTGTAATAGTAATCTAACAATGGATTAAAGTCATGATTACCATGAGCAAAAATCATTGGTGATTTTTGGATTAATTTATAATTGATCAATGGATCAAAAAAATCAGTTTGCCATTGCTGTAAACTATCAAAATTTTGTACAGAATCACCAACATGTAATATAAAATTGGGCTGATTGTGCAGTATTGATGCTGATTTAACAATTTGATTAAATGTTTTTAAATTAAATTGATTATCAGCAAATCCCAATATTCTTATAGGATATATTGATGACAATGAAGATGATGATGTGTTGAAAAGTGACGAAGATGGTGGTGATAAATTAGGAAATATAGTAAATGTGTTTGATGCAATAACAATTGGTTCATAATTGGTATTGTTTGTGCAATTTCCATTTGATTGATAAATTATTTCGTATTCATATTTACCAATGTTCTTAAATGGTCCAATTAATGACTTATATAAATAATGTGAACCATCTATTTCTAAATGTGTTAAAATACTAGACATATTTAAAAAAATTCTACCATCGTTATTAATTTCATCACTATCATTATCATTTTTATAATTAGTATCAATATCATTAATACCATTTATATCATTATTATTAATATTACCTTTAATTTCATCATTAATATTATCATTGTTATTACCATCAATATTATTATTGTTATCATCATCATCATTATAAATCCTATTACTAACTTCATTACTAGTGTCACTATTG